TGAGGATCTTCCTCAGCATCGTCGCCGTCCTTGACCTCAACCTGATGCAGCTGGACATGAAGAACGCCTTCCTGCAGAGCAAGCTCGATCGCGTGCTCTACATGTACCAGCCGGACTACTACAACGACGGGACCGGCCGGGTGTGTAAGCTGTTAAAGAGCCTGTATGGGCTGAAGCAGTCGCCGCTGCTGTGGTACAAGGCGCTCAATGATGTGTTGGTCGGCGCCGGGTGGAAGAAGAGCCAGGTCGACGAGGCGCTGTACTTCAAGGTCGGCGCCGACAAGGTGGCATGCTGGGTGCTGGTCTACGTCGACGACCTGCTCGCCGCCAGCAGCAGCACTGCGATGTTAAGGGGGCTGAGGGAGCTGCTGGAAGCCGCCTTCGAGCTGCGCGAGATCTTGCCGGTGCAGAAGTACCTCGGGCTAGAGATCGTGCGCGACAGGTCGGCGAGGAAGCTGTGGCTGCACCAGCAGGGCTACGCTGACAAGCTGCGTAGGCGCTTCATCGACGAGGAGCAAGGCGGTCGGACCCCTAAGACGCCGGTCTGCGTCGACGCCTACGCCGAGATCACCTTTAACGACGAGGAGGCGCAGGAGCGCCAGGAGGAGGAGTATCGGCAGAAGGTCGGCTCGCTGCAGTTCGCGGCGACAACGACGAGGCCGGATGTCACATTCGCTTGCAGCAAGCTAGGGAGCGGCCTCACGGTGAGGAGCGACCAGCACTGGTGCGAGGTCAACCGCTACTTCGCCTACCTCGCCAACACACGCGACACCGCCCTGGAGTTCAGCGGTGGTCTGGAGTCGCTGGAGCTGGTCCGCTACGTGGACGCCGATGACGCCGGCGACAAGCAGAACTGGACGAGCACAAGCGGCCACGTGTTCGTCTACGGAGGGGCTGCAGTCTCCTGGTCGAGCCAGCGCATCAAGTGCGCGACGCTGTCGTCGACCGAGTCGGAGTACGTGGCGGCAGCAACTGAAGCCGAGAAGGAAGGACGCCGACTTCGCTTCCTCCTGGCAGAGTTCCAGCAGCTGGACGCTGGGAAGCCGACTGTCCTTCGGGTGGACAACAAGTCGGCCATCACAGTCACTAAGAGCATGGTTTTGACTGGCAACCTCAAACACATGGAGCGACGACAGGCCTGGCTGCAGCACATGGTGAAGCGCGGGAAGTTCGTGTTGAGATACATCTGTGCCTAGCCTAGATTAGGTCCCTTCCTAGCGAGGCAACATTTATTCTCACAAAATGCTCTTCGAAGTCATTGGCTTGTGAAGGTATGTTAAGATTTATTTTCTTGATTCATCATTGCAGACTACAAAAAGGCGTTTAACTTCCAAACCATACTACTTACCTCAACAACAACCAGAGTTGCATCCGGTGCGAGCTTTAAGGTGGCAAGTGCAGCACGCCTTTCTTGTGCAGAGAGGTGCAGTGGGGGCAGAACCATTTGTCATGGATCCTGGGCATGGCCATGCTGAGCCCCACACACTCGTAGTGGAACCACTCGCCTCCCTCACACTGCACATTGGGTGAAGGGGAGGAGAGGGGGGGAGAGGGGAAGTGGTGGAGTTTGGGTGGTGCTAGTGCCGCAACATCCCCACCCCACACACCACTTGTCATGGATCCGGGGCATGGCCATGCTGAGCCTCACACACCCGTAGTGGAACCACTCGCCTCCCTCACACTGCAGATAGGGGTGGCGGGGGAGGTGGAAAGAGGAGGGGGAGGTGAGTTCGGTTGGCGTTAGTTTCCCATTTCCTCCACACCACACAGATGTAGTAGAACCACACCACTCGCCTGCCTCACACTGACGTGAACATGGCATGAGGGGTATTCACTCGCATGTTCCTTTGCACATTCACATGCACATGCACATGCACATGCATATCCACATTCACAATCACACCAACAACATCCAAATGCACAACCAGGGCATGTGAACATTCACAATTCAATCCCCATGCATTTCCAAAATTACATGCACATCATGGATGTGCCTGCGAACTTTGCAGAATCTTACCTGCACTGGATTCTAAATCTGTACTTACTTGCAAATGCAGCTAATATGAAACTCACGTTTGGGTTATCACATGCGATCATGTCTCCAAACGACACCTGGCAATGGCACCATAAGTGTGGGTGGACAGGCAGTAAGTGGAATAGAAAGGTGAATCGTAAGAGAAGTAGAAGGGGGTACTGTGGGAAGGAATCGGCCAGAACTGAAACTGGGGTTAAAAAGGCAGTTGAAATGGATAAAGAGGAAGCAATAAGCAGAACTTGCTTACTTCGATTGATACAATACAAATACAGAAGCAGGAGACAAGGGAGGGAGATGAATGAAGAAAGCACATCTGACCGCAGATGCAGTACGTTGGCTCATACACCTGCTCTCCTGCCCCTCCCTCAGGCACCTCTCTCCTCTCGCCAGCTGCCCCCACAGGTACGCCCCTGCCCATCCCTCCCTTCTTTCTAGAGAGTGGGAGGGCAGCAGGAGGCGGCATGAGGGCAGCACCCCTTCCTCCCCTCTCCCACTCCCTCTCCCTTGCTGCCTCCCTCCCTGCCTCCCTCCCTGCTTCCCTCCCTGCTTCCCTCCCTGCCACTCTCTCGCCCTCCCTCTCCTGGTTCCCTTGCCATGCCTCCCCCTTTGCTTCCCCCAACCCCCCTCCCCCACCTCCTCCCCCTTCCCCACCACTGCCAGATGCTAGCACAGCCACCGCACTCAACCCTCGCCCTTCCCCCTTCGGTTCCCCCCACCCCCGCGCCCCTCCCCCGCCCCCTGCTGCTGGGGAGGCAGCTGGGGCGGCAGGGGGGCAACGGGGGGTGACGTAAGGGGAAGAGAGGTTGGGGGAAGGTGAAGGGGTGCGGAGGGGCGTGGTGGGGGTGGAAGGGGGGGGGATCCGACGGTCAGGGGCGGGCGTGAATGGATCATCCACCATGAACCGTCCATCTGTGGGGGATTGACAAGGAGCAGGGAGAGGCAGGTCGGGCAAAAGGATTTGGAGGGACAAGAGGTAAGGGGACGTGCAGGAGCTTTTGAAATTTCCAAAACAACCGCGTGCAACAGAAAATGGGGTTTGAAGAAGGCTATAAGCAAAACCTGGTTACCATTATACTGTAAATATTTTTCATAATGCTTTACAGGTAATTCAAACACCCAAAAATTGTTAATTCGTTGTAGCAACAGTTGCTGCACGTGAAGCCCTCACCTTGCTCCCTCCGCTCACCTTGCTCCCTCCGCTCACCTTGCTCCCTCCGCTCACCTTGCTCCCTCCGCTCACCTTGCTTACTCCACCCACCTTGCTTACTCCACCCACCTTGCTTGAGGTCCTCCGAAAAGTGCTGCAGCTCCTGGTTCAGACTGCGCAGGTGGCTCTCCAGCTGAATTCCAAAAAGAAAAGGGCAAGGATAGCAATGGAGGAATGGGGCGGGGGGAAACGGATAGACAGGTGACATAGAGTGTCAAGACAAGTGCTGCAGCTCCTGGCTGAGACTGCGCAGGTGGCTCTCCAACTGGCGGGGAAGGGGAGACAAGAGGTTGAAGGGTTGAGAGAAGAGGAAGTAGAGCTCCAAGGGTAAAGCAAGTGCTGTAGGCACTGGTTCAGACTAAGGTGGACGGCACTAGGAGAGGAATGGAGAGTGGAATGGGTAAGAAGGGGAATATAGACGGTAAGGGGACTGATTCTTGCAGTGCATCTCCAAGTCCAAAACGCACAGCTGATTCTTGTCTGAGATTGGGTGGAAGAGGAAGGCGTGAATGGAGAGGAGCGAGGGCAAACTGGGTAAGGCTAAGTCCCGGCTCACACCAAGCAAGTGACTCTAACGCTTGGGGTACAGCGACTGACTCATGCCCGCACACCGCACCGACCATGTACTCATCCCTGCCTCACACACTCACCAGCGCGCTCACTTGCTGCCCTACACTCACACTCACTAAACTTTAAACCCTAAACTTTAAACCCTAAGGCCGAAGCCACACTCACCAGTGCGCTCACTTGTTGCGCCAGAACACTGCGCAAAAACACTGCAGCATAACACTGCGCAAGAACACTGCAGCTAACACTGCGCAAGAAACTCTTAAGCTTGGATGGAAGGGAAACGAGAGGTACGGAAGGGCGAATGGAGAGGAGTCAAAACACAGAGGGTACTGCGAAGCATGTGAGCTTGCTGCAGCTGCTGGTGCAGACTGCACAAGTGGCTCGTGAGTTGAGGAGGAAGGGAATAGAGAGGAATGTGGGGTGAGGAGGTTAGTTTGCACAACCAACTCACCATTACCCATACCTCACACTCCACAGTCTGACCCATGCCTCCGCACCCACCAGTGCGCTCACTTGCTGCGCCAGAATGACTTTCTCATCACACAGCGCCTGCATCTTCCCCTGCTTCTCGGAAATTTCCTCCCGAAGCCTCTGCAGAGCAGCAGCCCTCTCGTCGCTGACATCATTCCGTCTATCCCTCTGCGTCCCCTCTTCCTCCAATCCCCCTGCCCCAGCCGCACCAGTGACATCTACCCCTGCCACTCCTTCAGTCACACTGGGCTGTTCTGCCTTTACCACCACAACTTCTTCTCTGCTTTCCTTCTCCTGCTGCCCCACCTCCTGCTGCTGCTGCTGCTGCTGCTGCTGCTGCTGCTGTGCTCGCGGCCGTTTCTTCCCGATGCTCTTCCTCCCCCCTCCCTCCTCCACCTCCCCCTCCACCTTCACCATACCACCCTCCCATCCCTCTCCGCCCACGCCCTCCCCCCCTCCTCTCCCTCTCTTCCTCGGTCTGCCCCTCGGTCGCTTCTCCCCGCCCCTCCCTGCCTCCGTATCACCCTTCACTGCTGATATGCTGCCGGGTGCAGGAGAAGGCATAGCATCTTGAGCAGCAGAGCAGTTCCCCACCTGTGCTGCATGTGCATCACCATCACTGCGTGCCTTGCTGTGACTGGACCCATCAGCAGCACTGTCAGCAGGAGCTTGACCACCATCAGCGCCATCAGCAGCAGCCCCACCAGCTTGCGCACCATGAGCAGCCCCACCAGGTTGCCCGCCATGAGCAGCCCCACCAGGTTGCCCGCCATGAGCAGCCCCACCAGGTTGCCCGCCATGAGCAGCACCTCCACCACCATAAGGCACATCAACTCCCCCGCTGTCTTCCTCGCCATTCCCATCATCGTCAGCATCACCATCGCTAGCAGCATCGTCCTCGTCCCCCTCCCCCTCCCCCTCGCCATCCCCCTCCGCATCCGCATGCCCATCACCATCACAACCCCCATCGCCCTTCCCGTGCCCATCTGGGTCATCCTCAGCTGCTCTGAGGGCCGCCTCCCTCTCCTCTATGGCTGTCAACCCTGCGCGAATGTCACTCTGAATCTCGCTGCGCAGCGCTGCGGAGAAGGATGGAGGGCGGGCAGGAGAGAGGAAGAGAAGGGGGTATGGTTTCGTGTGCTGTTGTTTCAACTTTCAACCCACCCCGCCTGGATGTCTTCTGAATCTGAATGCGCAGCGCCGGGGGGAGGAAACGCGGAAGCAAAGGAGCGGGGGCAAAAGGGAGGGACGGAGGGACGGAGGGAGGGAGGGAGGGAGGGAGGGGGGGAGGGACGGAGGGAGGGAAGGAGGGAGGGAGGGAGGGAGGGAGGGAGGGAGGGAGGGAGGGAGGGAGGGGGGGGGGCAGAGAGAGGGAGGGAGAGGAGGGAGAGGAGGGAGAGGAGGGAGAGGAGGGAGAGGAGGGTGTGGAGGGAGAGGAGGGAGGGGAGGGAGAGGAGGGAGAGGAGGGAGAGGAGGGAGAGGAGGGAGAGGAGGGAGAGGAGGGAGAGGGGGGAGGGAGCAAGGGCGCAAAAGGATAGTGCTTGTTCTTTTTGTTTTGACCACCTTCAACATCTCCTCTACGGCCGTCAGCCCTGCCAGAATGTCACTCCGAATCTTACTGCGTATCGCTGCAGAGAGGGAGGAAGTGGAGGGAGGGAGAGAGGGAGCTGTGCGTGCTCATTTTGGCCAGAATCCGCCACTATGAGGGCGGCCTCTCCCTCCTCTACGGCCGTCAGCCCCGCCCGAATGTCACTCTGAATCTCACTGCGCAACGCTGCGGAAAGGGAAGGAAAGGAGGGAGGGAGCGAGGGAGGGAGGGATTCAGGTTTCGTGTGCTCTGTTGTTTCAACCCGCCCCGCCCAGATGCCACTCTGTATCTCAAGGCATAGTGCTGCAGGGCAGGAGGAGTGGAGGGGAGAGAGGGGAGGGAGGTAGTGGAATGGGAGCAGAGAAGGAGGTGAAGGATGTATGTGCGCGCGAGGGCGACGCGGACGTGCAAAAGGAAGAGAAGCAGGGAGATTGAACGGGCATGCTGGAATGGAAGGAAAGGGGCACGCGGACACAGTGAGGAACAATGAGGGTCATTCGCGTGCCCCTCAGGACTGAGGAACAATGACACATGTTGCAAGACTCTACCACGACATGCATTACCATTCACGACATGCATTGCCATTCACGACATGCATTGCCATTCACGACATGCATTGCCATTCGCGACATGCATTGCCATTCGCGACATGCATTGCCATTCACGACATGCATTGCCATTCACGACATGCATTGCCATTCGCGACATGCATTGCCATTCGCGACATGCATTGCCATTCACGACATGCATTGCCATTCGCGACATGCATTGCCATTCGCGACATGCATTGCCATTCACGACATGCATTGCCATTCGCGACATGCATTGCCATTCGCGACATGCATTGCCATCCACGACATGCATTGCCATTCACGACATGCATTGCCATTCGCGACATGCATTGCCATTCGCGACATGCATTGCCATTCACGACATGCATTGCCATTCACGACATGCATTGCCATTCGCGACATGCATTGCCATTCGCGACATGCATTGCCATTCGCGACATGCATTGCCATTCACGACATGCATTGCCATTCGCGTGCTTGGAAATCTGTGAAATGCAGCATCATCACACACACCCCTTAGCATCAGCTCGTACAATCCTGCCAGGTTCACTCATGTCATGAGATTTTTGACACGTCTCAAAAGCAGTCCAGTTTTCTCCATGAGCGAAATGCCTCCATACGAGTAAGCACACACCTTTTGAGCGATGCGTCTCAACAACTGCCTTTTGAGCTCCGCGCCCTACAAGTACGCACACACACACAAACCCGGAGACGCCTTTTTTTTAGCATAACAGTCAGTCAGTGCCACGTCAACCTATCTCACCTAAACAGCAGTCACTAGCTCAGTACAGCTCAGCACCCACCTTGGCATCGGCCATTCAGCTCAGCACCCACCTTGGCATCGGCCGTCCAGCTCAGCACCCACCTTGGCATCGGCCGTCCAGCTCAGCACCCACCTTGGCATCGGCTGTCCAGCTCCCGCATGAGTGAGAGCATGCGCTGCAGCTCGTGGGGCAGTGATGACACCTCTGCAAGAGGGGGGAGGAGAGAAAGGGCGGAAGAGGGAGTAGAAAAAGGGAAAGCTCCCGCATGAGTGAGAGCATGCGCTGCAGCTCGTGGGGCAGTGATGACACATCTGCATAGGGAATGGGCGCAAGGGCAGGCACAAGGGCAGGCACAAGGGTGGGCGCAAGGGCGGGCGCAAGGGCGGGCGCAAGGGCGGGCGCAAGGGTGGGCGCAAGTGGCTCCTACTGCGCACGTGCTGCGGCGTGCGCGGCAATGAAGAAGGCGCCCTGGAGTGATAGAGAACTGGCGGAAGGGAGTGGGATGGATGGAGCACGAGGTAGGTAGCAGCTCTCTAAACACACACACAGCACGGCACGGCACAGCACGCGCTACAGCACGCGCTACAGCACGCGCTACAGCATGATGTGGGGCAATGGCTTGTGAGTGACTGAATGTGAGAGCAGGCGCTCCAGCTCGTGCGGTGGTGATGTGTTTCTGAAGGTCGAGAGGGGTGAGGAGAGGTGGAGTGAAGGAGAGGAAAGATGGAGGAGGGGTGAGGGGGAGTCGGTCTCTCAGCAGTGGAAGCACTTGCTCGGCCCTGAGGGACTTGGGGTAAAGAGGGGTGGGGTGGGAGAGAATGGGTAAGAGATAAAGTCACATGTGCAGAAAATAAGTTCGCTGCAATCACATGCGATGCAATCACATGCCGTGCAATCACATCCGTTCCAATCACATGCGGTCCAATCACATCCATTACAATCACATCCTCTAATCTCACCTGCCAGGAAGTCGTCCACATACACGCCTGTGCGCGTCGCCGCCATTCCCCCCACCGCACCGCACAGCACCGCACAGCACAGCAGCGCGCGACCGCTTGCGCCGCAGCACTCTGATTCAGTCACCCGTATGCTCTCAGTCCGCCTCCCTCCCTCTGCAGCTGCACGGTGGGAGGAACTGACGACTGAGCTTCGCGGAGGGCCTGCGCCGGTGAAACTAGACACTAGCCCTGCTGGCGAAATGACTCCGAGCCGAGCGCGCGGCGGGCCTCAGAGCCGCGACACGGAATACAGCCTTCGCGGCGGGAAAAACTCCGCGGAACGGCCTTTCGCGCTTTGAGCGGCTCGCCGTGGGATTCACCAATTCGTCCAATATGCTATCAATCTGCAGAAGGATCGACCCGCGCGTAGCTTGCCGCGTACGCATGGCAAATGGAGTGACAGGGCTGGCGAACCGAACCAGGCCTGGAAACAAACCCCCACGGACAATAGGGCGTGGACCATTATGACGGGTTGCGGAAACCGGTCGCAATTCCGGAACATGGTTGGTGAGACCAGCACAAAGTGAGACCCGAAATCGTCCAAACACAAGATCCAAAAAATAAATACGAAATCCAAGCCAAATACCCACCGCTGGCAGTTTCGCAATTGTTGAGTTTGCGACTGGTACCCAATTATCGCGACCGAGTGGGACGCGCAACCCAGTGGCGGTTTTAGTGGTCGGGGTTCTGAAACTCGATTGCATTTTTCGTTCTCTAAACTTCACGATTCGGGAGCACATGCAACAAGTGACGTGCAACTGGAAAAGCGAAATTCGCTAGGCTATCATGCGAGAATGTGTTTTCGGTAACCATTCTGAGTGGCGCCACCTGGGTTGCTGTTTCCGTACCCGATGGAAAGATTCCACGCCCTTGCTTTGTTTTGACACAAAGGTTTCGTTGTTGCCCCAATAGGTATGCCTAGTCTGTGCGCCTCACGAGTCACGACCAGCCTGTTGCTGTCTCATAACCAGATTTGAACCGCCATCGCTGAATACCGTCGGCACTGATTGGCGGCTCTGATCATTCGTTTGCGCCGCAAATCTGCTCGTTGCAACCCATTTCTGGCCGAATCGTCGATCGCCCCCCGTCGCCCGTCGCACGTCGCCCGTCGGCCATCTCTCGTCGCGCGTTTACATTCTCAGCGAGCATCGGCGCGTGTCAGCGGGCCGTATCGTGTACGTCTACAGGCGCTAGAGTCGGTGGCGCTTCGATATCCCGTGATTTCCGTTCTCAGCCCTTTTCGCGCGTGCCAGTGGGCGTCAGCGGGCGGCACCTTTTGAGTCGACTTAAAAGTCACCTCAGCAGGCGTGAGCGGGCGGCATCGTGTGCGTCTACTCTACTCGCGCTACTATAGTCGGCGGGCGGCATGGTGTACGTGGACACGTGGGACGAGTTCGCGGAAAAGGCGGAGGTGCTCTTTCGAGCCGACCCCTCCAAGGTCGGTGGCGTTTTGTCGTTTTCTGCGTGTAGCTGATTTACACGCAACACAGCTTGTACTCGATACGGAATTGCACACGATATGGATTCGCGGAGGAGGAGGAGGAGGGCGCGGATTCCGGAGCGCGCTTCGCCCTCCATTCCCTGCGCCCTTCATCCATTCCGCCCTTTCCCCCTCCTCCCGCTCCGCCCTTCCCCTTCCACCCGCTCCGCCCTTCCCCTTCCACCCGCTCGGCTTGCTCCCTGTATGCCATAAAAGCTGCTCATGCGATGCGTGCTCGCTGCAATCCGCCTCCCGCCTTCTCGTCCGACCTTTTGTCCACCCACTCTTCCGCTCTCCCTTTCCCCCTCTCCTTGCCTCCCTCCCCCTCCTCCCTCGCCTCGCCGCCTCCCGTTTATTCCCCTTTCCTCTGCCCGCATGTACCGTTCCTTTCCCCTAACTCTTCCGAACCGCACTCCCCCATCCACCCCCCCCCCCCCCTTTCCCCCCTTACCGTTCCTTGCTCCCTTTTCACATCCCTGATTCAGTTCGCATGCTCACATGCACAACCACACAGGCACAAGCACCCCCGCCCCCGGCCCCCCCTCGCCCTTCCCCCCCACACATACACTGCTTTTCTGTGTGTCTTTACTATCACACTCGTTCTTTCTCCTTCTCCCACGCACATACTCCCCTACGCGGACCCTGTCCCCGCCCCTGCCCCCAACCCTTGCAGTTCCGCTGTGTGAGCAATTACCGTACCGCCTTTTGAGACGTTTCAAAAGTCGCTGTGTGAGCAATTACCGTACCTCCACGCCACTGCGATGGCAAGCGGGTGCTCAACGCCACAGATGATCGCGTGTCTGTACAACTGTTACTCATGCTCCTTCTCCCACACACATACTCCCCCACACCTTCTATGCCCCTGTCCGTGTCCCCGCCCCTAACCCTCCCCTTAGTTCCGCTATGTGAGCAAGTACCTTTACTGCGACATGGCAAGTTCTGAGCTTAGTTATCCCGTACCTCCCACACCCCCCTGACCCTGCCCCTTCTCCTGCTGGTGCCCCCGCCCCTAACCCGCCCCTGCAGTTCTGCTATGTGAGCAAGTACAGGCACCGCGATGGCATGCTGGTGCTTTAAAGCCCATCAACCACCTCGTGTGTTCGTTCACACACATTCTCCCACTCCCATACACCCGCCCTGCACTGCACCCGCCCCCGCAGTTCCGCTATGTGAGCAAGTACAGGCACTGCGACGGCAAGCTGGTGCTCAAGGCTACAGATGACCGCGTGGTGAGTGGTGGCAGGCACTGTGGGGCAGGGCGAGCGGGAGTTGATGATGTGTGATGATGGCACTGCGACGGCACTGCCATGGCACGGCACTGCGACGGCAAGCTGGTGCTCAAGGCCACAGATGACCTCGTGGTGAGTCAGTAAGGACAAGAGGGAGGTGGGTCAGTAAGGACAAGAGGGAGGTGGGTCAGAAAGGACAAGAGGGAGGTGGGTCAGCAAGGACAAGAGGGAGGTGGGTCAGCAAGGACAAGAGGGAGGTGGGTCCAGGGTTCAAAAAAACGACCGTTTTATTGAAATTTTACCGTAAAAAACGGTACCGTAAAAAACGGTTGTAAAAAACGGTTTAAAACGGTTCCAGGAGGTGTTTCCTCTATAACAAACAAAACGGCCACTTAGTGGGACCAAATTGAACCCGAAATGCAGCAGCATGAAGGGGATGGGACCCTTCTTGCATGTATGCGCTTGTTTGCATGATTGAAAATGTTTTTGCCCTTGTTTTCCTCTTTTTTTCTTGGTGAACAGAGTTCTCTAACAAAAAAACGGCCGTTTTTTTTTTAAATCACCGTAAAAAACGACCGTAAAAAACGGACCGTATTTTACGAAAACCGTAATTTTGAACCTTGGGTGGGTCAGCAAGGACAAGAGGGAGGTGGGTCAGCAAGGACAAGAGGGAGGTGGGTCAGTAAGGACAAGAGGGAGGTGGGTCAGAAAGGACAAGAGGGACGTGGGTTAGTAAGGACAAGAGGGAGGTGGGTCAGCAAGGACAAGAGGGAGGTGGGTCAGCAAGGACAAGAGGGAGGTGGGTCAGAAAGGACAAGAGGGAGGTGGGTCAGTAAGGACAAGAGGGAGGTGGGTCAGCAAGGACAAGAGGGAGGTGGGTCAGCAAGGACAAGAGGGAGGTGGGTCAGCAAGGACAAGAGGGAGGTGGGTCAGCAAGGACAAGAGGGAGGTGGGTCAGTAAGGACAAGAGGGAGGTGGGTCAGAAAGGACAAGAGGGAGGTGGGTCAGCAAGGACAAGAGGGAGGTGGGTCAGCAAGGACAAGAGGGAGGTGGGTCAGCAAGGACAAGAGGGAGGTGGGTCAGTAAGGACAAGAGGGAGGTGGGTCAGCAAGGACAAGAGGGAGGTGGGTCAGTAAGGACAAGAGGGAGGTGGGTCAGCAAGGACAAGAGGGAGGTGGGTCAGCAAGGACAAGAGGGAGGTGGGTCAGAAAGGACAAGAGGGAGGTGGGTCAGTAAGGAGAAGAGGGAGGTGGGTCAGTAAGGACAAGAGGGAGGTGGGTCAGCAAGGACAAGAGGGAGGTGGGTCAGTAAGGACAAGAGGGAGGTGGGTCAGTAAGGACAAGAGGGAGGTGGGTCAGTAAGGACAAGAGGGAGGTGGGTCAGTAAGGACAAGAGGGAGGTGGGTCAGCAAGGACAAGAGGGAGGTGGGTCAGTAAGGACAAGAGGGAGGTGGGTCAGTAAGGACAAGAGGGAGGTGGGTCAGTAAGGACAAGAGGGAGGTGGGTCAGCAAGGACAAGAGGGAGGTGGGTCAGCAAGGACAAGAGGGAGGTGGGTCAGTAAGGACAAGAGGGAGGTGGGCCAGTAAGGACAAGAGGGAGGTGGGTCAGCAAGGACAAGAGGGAGGTGGGTCAGTAAGGACAAGAGGGAGGTGGGTCAGTAAGGACAAGAGGGAGGTGGGTCAGTAAGGACAAGAGGGTGTGAGAAAACGTGAGGAAGAACCATTAATAATATTAGGAATTGAAGGGGTATACATAGTTGTGCTAGGAGGGATGGTTTGGTTGGGAGCCTAGCCAACATTATTGGCCCCCACCAATAAGTTGGGTTGAGGAATTATTGGGGGGACCAATAATGTTGACCAAAGGTGGTTCAACATTATTGGGGGGGCCAATAATTCCCAACCCAACCTTGGGGGCCAAGTGTTGAGTTCCAACCCCCAATTAGGGTTAGCCCTAGCTCTACACCCAAACTACATTTGGGTGTCTACCTCTAGCCGTAGCTTATAGGATAGATGCAGGTTACAAGTGAGGATGGTATTCTAACACAACCCCTTAACCTGCAGACATCCATAAGCTATGGAAGAGGGAAGGGAGCAACCCCTGAATCAGCCACCGCGGGGAGCAAGTCCCTGAAGGCGTAGAAGCGCAAAGTGGTTAGAACGGGGGAGAGCCTTGGCGAAGTTCGATGTGTTTGGAGCGACCATGAAAGACGGCTTCTTTGGTGAGGTGGATGGTACTGTCGTTGTCACACCACAACGCGGGGCAGGGCTGTGGGGAACCAAGGTCGGTGAGCAGATAGCTAAGCCAACGTGCCTCCTGAGCCGCCATCGTGACCGCGTACAGTTCGGCTTCGCATGAGGAGAGGGCGAAGGAGGAAGAGCGGGTGGAGCGCCAGCTGATGAGGCCACTTCCAAGTGTAAAGCCATATCCTTGGGAGCTGCGACGGTCAGGCTGTGCGTCGGCCCAAGATGAGTCGCTGAAGCCTTGAAGAATGGGTGGGTTTACACCACCAAGAGTGAGGACATGGTCCTTGGTGCCTTGCAGGCAGCGAAGAACCCGCATGGCCGCCTTCCAATGCTCTTCACCATGCCTGCCGGTGCCAACAAACTGCGCCAGAACACTGACTGGGTATGCGAGGTCGGGACGAGTGCAGACCATGGCGTACATCAGGGCCCCAACGAGTTCTGCATAGGGATGAGGGGAGGTGACAGGAGTGGTGGGAGGGGAGAGCCGATGCCCGAACGCAAGTGGTGTGGGGATGGGTTTGCAGGTTTTCATGCCAAACCTCTCAAGAATCTTCTCGATGTAAAAAGATTGAGAGAGGATGATGGTCTTGGCAGTGAGGTCGCGTTTGATCTCCATGCCGAGGTAGTTGCGGACCTCCCCCAGGTCTTTGCAGGCGAGGCGTTTCTGCAGCTCATCCTTGACCTCCTGAAGTTCAGCAGCTGTGTCAGCGGCCAACAGCATGTCGTCGACGTAGACGAGGATGAAGAAGGGTGATGGGGTGAGGCGCAGGAAGAGGCAGGAGGCGGCACGAGAGGGGCGAAAGCCAAGTGCGCGAAGGGTGGATGAGAGTTTGGCGTGCCATTCTCGAGGTGCTTGTTTGAGCCCGTAAACAGGGCGGAGCAGCTTCCAAACAGTTGTAGGGTCGTGAGGGGCGTGGAAGCCTTTGGGTCGTTCCAGAAAGATGAGTTCGTGAAGGTCGCCTTGTAGAAAGGCGGGGTGGTGACATCCATGGAATGAAGTATCATCCCACGCCTCCCAACAATGTCCAAGAACACGCGAATGACCGGTGGAGTGGCGATGGGCGAGTAGGTCTCGAAGAAGTCGGAGCCATAGGTCTGAGTGGAGCCTTTTGCCAGATATCGAGCCTTGTACACCGGGGCGTCGCCAGGGAGTAGTTTGACTCGAAAAAGCCACCTGCCTTGGACCACGTTGTGCTTAGAGGGACGAGGAACGTCGATAAACGAGCGGTTGCTGATGAAGGCGTTGCTCTCCTTGATCATGGCCTCGATCCAGAGAGGCGCATCAAGGCAGGCAAGTGCTTGCTCATAGGTGGTGGGTTCGTAGGTGGGGGTGGTGGAGAAGAGAAGAACAGTGGTGCCAGCCATTGTGCGGACGACGGGGGCGACTGTGGGTGAGAGGAGGTGGAGGAACATTAGCTCATCATGAGAGTCTTCAGAGAGGTCCGGAGTGAGAGGAGGAGGGAGAGGAGGCGGTGGAGTTGCAAGATAGCTGCGCTGGAGGGTCGGGCTGATCCGGGGACACAGCTGCACTGGTGCTCTGCTGCGCTGAGGGTCGGGACGGGGAGACAGCTGCATTGCAGCTCGGCTTTGCTGAGTTGCCGTAAGGGGCAGGGATACTGGAGCGCGACTGCTCAGAAGACCTGAGGGGCTGGTGCGGGGGGGGGGGGGCTGGCGCTATGGTGGCGGAGAAGGGGGATGGATGTGAGAGACTGGAGGGAGGGGGGGGGGACCTTGGGGTACCAAGAACGGGGACCGTGGAGCGGGTGTGAGGGTAGTGGCGGAGTATGAGAGGGGGGTAGAAAGTAAGGGCCGGGAGGATGGAGGTGGAGTGAGTGAGGGAGGGCGTGGGAGGGG